ATATATTATTATATTCATGTATTTTACATTAATTTTGTACGACACTATGCCTGCTACAAGAACGATAGTATGTAAATCGACGACCCAAACTTTAACTCATTGTGACACCCGGCAGTTTCGGGAGAGAACGCGTCTCAAGTAAACGCAAATGGAATCGATAGAATAATAATTTTTTTTTTTTTAACGAAATTCATTATTAGACCATCTGTTACAGATCTGAACAACGCGCTTAATTGATAAAATAACAATAAATAATGTCTAGAAAATAAATGAGTGTAGCCTCCCAGCGGAGGTATATTTTGGCAGAATAGTATTCAAATTAAAATAAAAACGCATAAAAAACCACAATGATAAAAAAAAATATCGAACATTGTAACAATCGCAAAAAAAGTTCCAAAACAGAATTTGCTCAAAATTGTCTGCAGTTTATTAAAAAAAAAAATCCCCTCTCCGTCGTTCATCGATATTTAAAACTTTAAAAGTATATATGTATAATCGTTCATCGCAAACAAGCGTCTCTCACACATAACATTATCGTGCGTGGTATAACAATGTGTAACATACCGGATTGCGAGAGAGTTCGCTAACCGCAAATACCGGCGCACGTAATATAATATTTAACCGCCGCGTTTGTTTATGCCACTACTAGAGCCGTTGTTCTCACGTAGTTACTGTATTATAATATCCATAGTTTGCATCCATTGGATACCTACAATTTTTCGAGATTCTCAAAATATTATTATCGCGGAGTCGTGCATAATTTGCCCACTGAAACGTTTTTGAAAATTTTAATTCTAAGAAAATTTAAAATATCGTTTCGAAAAGCACTAAGATCATAACATTTATATATGTAGATTGGGTCACAAATAATACGTTTTGTGTGACGTACGGTTTCATAATAAATCGTTATTTTCTATTCATTATTACAGTCAACACGTGTGAATTCTGCAGTCGGTTTAGTCACTTCTGCTACTGCATAAGCTATTTTTTTGTAAATAAGTACTAAGTATATTAATATTGACGTGACCTATCGGCGAAAACGCACGTGCCATGGTGAGACGGCGACGCATTCCTAGAAGTGTCGGGTAAATTTGGTATTTTTTTTAGATTGCGAGCTGAACGAGGAATGTAACTATTGGTTTTACAATAATGCCAGTTTTTTTTCTTGTGTCTGTCATCGAGTGAAAAATCGTGACATCAGCAAAAAATTTGCTTCGATCATCTTCCATCACACTGAAGGTGATTTCTGATACCGCTTTTTATCCAGCCAGTACTTTAAGGAGGTAAAAATCACTGCACTTTATATCTTTTTCTAATAATTTTAAAGAGCTACCAAAGATTAGAGGTGAAAAGAGAATATATGAGCAACAGTAGTTTTAGACAAAATCACTATTTTTTATTTTTATTTCAGAAAAAAATAATCGTAGATGATTGAAATTTTCATCAAATAATCGTGTTACTACAGCTAGATTTCTTTTATATTTCAAAATATTTTACACTTTTTAGGCTATAGATATACATTTGAAATTATCCAATTTGTTAAGAATTTTTAGTATCTTTCGATATGTTTATAAAATGTTTGAATCACATTCGCAATGCTTGATAATGAATATTACAGTTGCCATGAGTAAGTTGTCCCAGGGTTAATAGTGTCATAGTAGTAAAAAATATTATCTAAAACAAAGAGTCACTATTTTTTATTTAAGTAAGTTCAAATTTTAACAAAATTCGTCCAAATTATGAAGATTTTCTAATTATATTTTAGTTTCAAATGTATAAAATGCCAGTATTTAATAACTTAACCCCGAAAATTATACACAATTGCTGTATAATATGGTATCCGACTAGTATCTATTATCATTTTAATCGAAATCATTACAAACAATAGTAATATAATATAAAATAGTTGAATATTTACAAATTGAGTACAATACATACAATCAGAAATCCTTTTTCGTGTAGGTACAATCGTTTATCTTTAAATTTAACTCAGCCGTTAAGTACAGTGATCTGCTCAATGACAAAGTACACTCAAAACTGAAGAACCAACTGTGTCGGGTTGTGACGTAACTAATGTAATGCGTACTGTAACGACGATACTTAGTTTATAACGCGTTACATAATTTCGTTACAATTTTTTCCTAGTCACAAAAATGTGATGGAAATTAATTTTGACAGGTCATTTCTAAAATATAATACGTTACCGTTTTGAGTATCGAGAATTTAAAAAAAAATTACAGCGATGAGTTTTTTTTTTTAGTGGTCTCTCATCACCTCGCTGAGATTCGTTGTACGAACCAAGAAAAACGCACAGGAATAAAAAATAAAAAATGAATTCCCCATAATATCGTTGTGGGTGTGTGTCAAGAGCTCTTGAGGTTTTATATTACCTAGATAATATGATTATATATTTTTTAGTTGGCGTTCAATTTTAATTAAATGCTTGGTAAAAAAATGTATTGTGATTTATGTTTTCGCATAGCATTATTACAAAATATGGACGAAATTAATTTTCATAATATCAATCAATTGGTAATTGGTATGAAAAACATTTTTTTTTTTAACACCAAATTATAAATTAGTACTTATGATACTCGTTGATAAATATTTTCTTATATCGATTTGTTAAGGTATGATTAAATATAATATAACACACATTTAATACAAATATAATAAATACGAGTATAATCAATCAAATAAACCAATAGACAATATACTGTATACACAATACATATTTAAGTTGATTGTAATAATGTGGTTATAAAATACCGTTTCGAGCCTGAGTGTCATACATAAATACCTAATTTTTATTTAAATAACTATACCACTATATAAACACCAAAATAGCAAAAAAAAAAAAAAAACATTGTGATTGGGAAATTTAGCTATTACTTTTAGTATGTTGTTAGCAATCAGTACAATTAGGTATATCATAATATGCCAAAAGTGATTTTACCTTGTCGCGCAATCGTTCAAAGTCGTAAGTCGTGTTGTTTTCACGACAAAATAAATTTCATCGAGAACATCCTAAAACGGTATACTTATTTATATATTTTGATCGACCGTTCATTGGCACGAATCATTTCAGAGCGTGCCTACATGCTAAAACTATATTTCACTTGCGGAGACGGAAGTAGAACGTTTTACTAAATGAAATGCTAAAAATATGGGACTAGTTTAAAAGGTAGAAGATTTGTTTTTTTGTTTAATATTTATTACCCAACTCGCTATACATCATGTTACTTATATATTATTATACCACGTGCAGTGACGGTTTAGTGTTATGTATACGCCATACTCGTATATTATAGTAAACCAGTGTTTGAAAAACGTAATATTATTACGCGCACGTCGTCGTCGTCGTCGTCGTCTCGTTATTAAATAGAAAAAAATACCTAGGTATATATAATCAGAGGCGGATTAAAGTTTTCACTTTCGTTTCCCCGGTCGGCCGCGTGACGACGAGAGCAGCGAGGAATCTCATACATTATTATATATATATTATGTTGCAGGTAGGTATATATGCATAATACATAATAATAATATGTATATGTATGTAAATAGTTAAACATTAAACGCGCGCACGATGTTATAAATGACAATATGCCGAGTACTATAAGTATACGTATAATATGCTCCTCTACCTGTATATATATATATTATTATTATTATTATTATTATTATAACACTCAACATAATACATAATAATATAGGGTAAACTGACCACGGACGTCCGCAAGTTTGTTTCGTATCACGTTTCACCAGTTTCTCGTACTGTTTCTCGTACGTAGTTCAATCCAAAATAAATAAATAAAATACCGCACTTGGTATATACCCACTTGAGGTCAAGAGAAAGCGCGCGGTGCAGCTGCAGCTGTTTACGGTCATTTCCGTTGCATAACGCCGTCATCGGGAGGTGACTCTTGTGCTTACAATAACAGTTATTATTATTATTATTATTTATTATTACGTTATTAAGTCTTGTCGCCCGAGTCTCTCCGATCGGCATTATATATATTATTATTGTAAACAGACAAACGCAAGACGAGATCGAGACCTCTTGAAGTTTATTCAGGTATAGCGACAAGGCCGGATTAGGGGGTGTCCAGGGGAAGCACAGTCCTGGGGCCATCTTTATCCACAAAATAGTTTTTTTTTTTTAATCTAAAAAAATAGTTCGAAAAATAAAATAATATTTTAGTAGGTGTAGTTATAAAATAAAATGTTCTCGATTTTATATCTCTAATAATTACTACGTGATAATAAATATTAAATTGATATTCTAATGATAGATAACATTCTATAGAAGTTTAATGAACAAGAAATGTGAACCACATTGGACGCATAAATAGATTGTCTTTATTATCTCTGATTTTACGTGGTAATACATAGTACACAATTGTACAATTACATACAGCCGTATAAATGTATTGGAACAATTTTTTTGGAGTTAAAATAGAAATTGCACTTTAAGTACAAAATCGATCATTAATCCAGACTTAGGGGGTGGCTGGTTATGGCTAATAAGTGATAATTTATAAGTGACCATAATGTTTTAGTAATAACTACGACAGGTATAGTTACAAGTATGGCACTGAATGACTTTATCGGGTTATTGGTAATGCAGGATGAGGTGAAACAAGCATTTGTATTAAATTATTTATTATTATTAATATTATTATTATAATTGGGGTTAGAGAAAACCAAATGGGATATAATATCGAAGTGAGAAAAAATAAAATGAATTAAATGAATTATAGATACGTATTGATAATTGGATCCTATTGGTGCGTATGGAAATTGTGGTGGTTGGGCAAATCGTAATTGGTCGCACTGAATTATTATAATAATATACAACTGCTTGATGAAGGTTTTCGGTTGATTCGATTCCGAAGAGGGTATGTGAAGTGTGCGGAACTAGTAATACGCTTATACTACATTATAATAATTGAATTCTACGGGTAGTTTAAGTATCAACGCAAAACTGAAGCCAATGCCGAGTTTGTCATTAGGTACATTATTATTGTAATAACGGCATCGGCCGCAATTCGCACGATAACAGCACAATCAATCAATTTATGAGGTTAAAATTACGTTCAGTCGTTTATTTACATAAAAAAAAAAAAGAAAACAATAAAACTAAAGTAGGTGTAATACTAAAAATAATAATCAGAACAACGACCGTACGGTACGCAAAATAGGCTCGTATAGTAGGTACGTCGAGACGAGCGACATTTATACATTTTAATATTCGGTTGTTGTACTTGTATGTATATAATAATATGATATATAATGTTGTTGTTATAAATTATGCCAAAAACGGCGGCGATGGTGGTCATGAACAGGAATATTGTGCATGGGTGCCGCGACGTGATTAGAATCCGCTCTGGTACTGTTTGAGCATCATAGTGTACTCCTTGGGATAATTCTTCTGTATATGTGACATGACACGTTGAATCTGTTTGATTTCCGACTGCGAGCACTTGACGCACATTCCTCTCAACACTAGCGGTGCATGAGCTGGAAATAAGAACATTTAAATAAAACGCCTACAAGATCACGACCACAGTGGCAGATAGGGCGAATGAGAGAGACAGAGAGCGAGAGACAGACGTGTACGTCGAAAAATGATAGTTAATATAATAATATTACTACTATCGTAATTAATATGACTCCAGACAAATAATGTGACTAGACGAGACATAGGCGAAATCTATACAAAATATACATATATATATAATATATAAACACATTTACAAATATAGATTCGATGTATGTGAACCATCAACGATGAGGTGTAACCTGTGTTCAATAAAGGTATCTCATTCAAATCCAAAGATGTATATACATTTTAAAATACTATCGTCGTTTATTATTTTATTCCTTTAAGACGACCGAAATTCGATGTATAACTTTTTACCACGTATTTGAATAAAATATTTCCGAATACACAATATTGTCAATATTACCATATTACAGTGTTCTACGCCCGGATTATTTATGTAATATTTCATACTTTGTAATTTGTTATAGTTTTTATTTCTTTGTGGTTACATAATTAGGTAACGTTGCTTATTTAACTTATAAGTAATTTGTATGAACACTTTACGTCAACACACGTGACATGTCATAATACGTTCAAGTTATTTTAAGTGGTATTCAAATTTGATACGAATAACATTCTAGCCGAAATAAGCTAATAGCAGTTATATAAGTGTCCATTATGAGGACCGTGCAGTAATTAATGTACCATTCGAAAGCGGATACCGATTCAGTGAGCTATTCGAGATAAAGATAAAACCACCGAGTATATACATAAACAGAGAACTCACTCGACCTAAAACAATAGTCCGGCAAATAACCTATTGTCGATGGCCTGGAGAACATGCACAGATCGATGATATCAGATTAGAATCGTTTCAAATAGTACAATACGAGTATATATGGTTTTCAAAGGACATTGCCATAAATGTAAGTAGTATTAAAAATATGACTATAAATTATTACTAATTGTATTATTAGTTTTTTTTTTCAAAATATCGAAAACATTAACCGCGTCATAATAAAATCGCTAATCCTAACCCAAACACTCTCGCCCGATCTGTGACCATAACGTAATATGAATAGTGTGATTAATCTTTTGGGTGATTATTGTTTGCTACTGACCTTTAATTTTTCGACCAATGGGGTCGCACGGTCCTTCGCCCGTAGCACACTTGAGTTGCCTTAGCACGAACCTCCTGTCACTGAGCGCCTTATCAAGTACGTCCTCGCTGACGTTCGGAAGCGATGCGCCTTGCTGGGTTGAGACGACCTGAGGAGTAGCACGTTTCACTATGGTCGTCGGAAGTGGTGCGGCCAAGGTCTCCGATTTGACCGCAGCCGGTTTGTTTTCCACTTTCGAGTCTTCCGGACGGGCGAGTGCGGCGCACACGCACACGGCGATTACGAATACCTTGCGAGAAAAAAATATTTTTAATTTCTAATATAATAATAATTATTGATACATGTGATATTACAATATTATTGTTGGGACGTGCGTGAACCGCTAGTCGACGAAAACATTACATTAAGCAAACGCGCGTTGAGTAGACGGTAGGAAATGTTCTCATTTTTATTGCGATTGTCCAGATTATTGTGTATTGTAGGTATTACATGATATTATCATTGTACCGACGTGTTAAAACGTCTACTCCAAAGGATAAATGTCTTAACCTTTCTTAGAATTATAATTCCTTACTGAAGTCTCAAAACAACATGTTGACATTTAAACAATTCTCCAGAATAGTAACGACGAATATCCCCAGCACAGCCAACGGGCTTTGGAAGTCATCCAAATAAATTTACAAATTGTTATGATTTGTGCTATAATAATTCATCTTACCGCTGGCCAAGTATTATATTATTTTATAACCGTTTTCGAAACCAACTTTACTATACATAATAATAGTAATGTAATCTCAATGCGATGTGTTCACTGCAGGGTTAAGTTGTTGAGGAACGAGGATTATCTTTACCTTCCACGCGCTGAACGCTCCATTGCCAGAGAAAGAAATACAAGGCTTTTTATTTTTTCAACATTTTTATATTGTCTACCATTTTATATTAATATTTTATTACGATCAAATGTCTACAGCAAAAAAATAAATAAATAAACCTCAAATTCACCAGGTGCGGTCTGTCTATTATTTATAATAAATACAATTATTATATTATGTCCAGTGTTATATTTATTTTCAAAATGGCCGGCAAAAATAAAATATAAAACCGAACGACCGTTTCGTTCTCGTTGTGTTTTACAAATAATCACTTTATACAATATATTAGCGCACACTGTAGTTGATGAACATTGAACACAGTAAATTGACGATAAAAAAAAAAAGTTTACAATTTAATCGTTCACGGCTACTGCAGTTCATATAATTCGCATAAAATGTACGCGTAAACTCATCGGTCGTATTTATCTCTACTTTATTCGGATCATTCACCAAGCAGCGAATTTTCGAGTACATTTGTGTAAAAACGTCACGGAAACTCCAACGATAGCGCCCATGTTAATTCTCAGCCGTAGATCACACACCTACATATACAACTGCCATAATAACTTTATTTAGTGGGCGGCAGTTTCAACCCCTCCGGAGTGGTATATAGTCAATTTATGGTGCGAAAATATTCGGCTGGAAAAAATATTTATGATATGAAAATTGCCCGGTGACAGCCGAGCAGATGAAATCGGTCCTGTTTTGTGACACAACCCGTAAAATGTCTCTTTAACCACCTGCCCCGCCGGGGAAAAAATCGGTATAACGTGGGTAATACAGTTTTTCCGCTTATAATTCCACCAAGTAAGAGCGAAATCAAGGGAGAGAACTTTCTCTCCCCCTATTTTTGACGTATTTTTTATTGGAATTCAATTTAAAATACAGCAAAAGTGTCTTCACCCGACCCGTGTAAGTTTATATAACCTCTAGAACCCCACAGTTAGTGTGTGTACATGGGCACTTTTATGCGTGAGGTAGTGCCAAACTCTAAACATTAACAAAAATTGTCAAGGCAGAGTTTAAAAGAAATCACGCATAACACAAAGTTGTTTTCCCAAAATAAATTATCTTATTTTCACTGATAAATATTTATGGTTTATTGAGTAATTCGAATTTGAATACGTAACGATAGGGTAAGTTTTGGTAAAGATTTTCACTGGATAAAGTACAAAAAACAATACATTGATATAACAACGACGTTATTAATACAATTGTATTTGTTATAAATATGTCAATAACGAGACATCGGTTAAATTCATAATGAATAAAACATGATTTATATTTAATTTTAAAATTATAAGCAATATATCCTTACAAAAAATAATATTATTATTTTAAAATTATGTTTAGATTTTGAAATAAAAAGTACAAAGTAAATAAGACATCGTCTAATAAATTCTGTTAACATTTTTTTATTATAATATATAAATATATATATATTATATTGTACAATATTATAAGCGTTTAATAGTATGAAATATTGTGTATTCACATAATATTTCAAAAAACGGTGAGTATTTTTTACAAATACGTTGTAGTATATATATATATAATGTTTGGATTAATAAAAGCCAACCATAATCTAACACATATCAAAAGTCGTAGAGTTCAAAAATGTATAATTTCGTTTCAACTATTTATTCTTTCTCACACATATTTTAGATAAAAACCCAAGAAAAATGCACGCATGTCTTGCGATTATACTTCCTGTTTCGTTTTTAAAATAAACGATAACCTAAAGATAAATCAAAATGGAACTTTGTTACCTACATGGCTCAATTGCACACTTATTAACATGTCATTGTGTCAGTAGACTGATACCGCAGCTACTTACGTAATACATAATTTTGATTAAAAACTCAATTTTTTGTAGTTATAATGTTTAAATAATTTTTAATGCAATACTCATTTTCCACTCTTCAAACATTATTTATTTAAATGTAGTTATTACAATTATATCTTATTTTTCATACAAAAATTTAGTTTGATCATATTTTTAAGTAAAATTTTCAAAATATTTAATCCAATTTTGTGATACTATTATAATATTGTACCATATAGTATAAGCTGAGAATCTAATTTTTGAATGATATATCATCGAATAAGATGGATGGTAATAATAAGATAAAGAAATTTGAAATAAACTGTAGTATTGCAGTATATTTTTTAATGCACTTATTTACAGATGGTTAGGAAAGTTATCGACAATTATAAATTCGTTAATTCACTTCACAGTGAATACACTTACAATTACAATAACAGTGCTGTTGATCAAAGATCAGTCCAAGTTGAACACTTCAATAGTTATTGGCAAAAGGGAACACTCAAGTATAGGTGTATAGGACTGGCGATTGCCTCTTACAACTAAGGGTAGCCGTTTTCGAACCAGAAATTCATCAAGTTATTCTGTTGTTATCGTCATATTATCATATTTCCACCGAAATTGAGAGTTTACTTTGAAATGCATATTCGGAATTCACCATCAGTACTTAGAAAATTTGACGAAGACCGCGACAGTTTTAATTGAAAATTCAGCCGCCTCAAAACTATATTATTGTACAACATTATTATTTCCTACAATAAGAGTACCTACCTACTTACGAATACCACTCAAGAAGCATGAAAATTAAATTAACGTTTTAACAACAACATCACAGGGTTTAGTTTAAACATGGAAACACTACTCTCTACATTGAAATAATTATTATTTTATTTGTTGACCAATAGGTACTAATCGTTAAGATATAATTATCTGAAAACAATCGTAGATATAATTTAATTTTTGTTATTGACATACTGACATTGCAGGTCAAATAATTATTACTAAAAATGTTTCTTTTTACATTTTCAGAAATAAAACCATCCAATTATTTTTTAACTTTGTCCTCCTCTCTATGAGTATAATAATATTATTTACATATTATAATATTTAAGATAAAAACCTTTTTCCTTAATTTCACACTACGGGGAAAGATAATTTTTTCTCCTGAACTGTAAAGCATAGTAATCTCCGGTTAGCGTGATGTCAATACGGGTACAAAATATTCTTTGATGGATCAAACAAAAGGTTTTATAAACTAGTCAGACATTTTGAACTAAATAAACTGAGAAAATGTGATGTTTCCTTATGTACTTTAATGGTATTTAAACAATGGTATTTTATCATAGTTAAATTTAATCACATTAAGCATTTATTGTTTTCAAAAAAATCATAGATGTTAATGAGTTTATGTGAATTCAGATAAGCTGAGACAAAATCAAAATTCAAAAGTTCATTTATATCATTTATAGAAGTTATGTCTTAAGCCACAGCTCTCTAATGTATAGTTGTTATTAATGCAATACATAATGTAGGTATTATAAATTATTTGCATTTAGGTACATGGGTAGATATACATAATTATATGATATAATGATATGGTTTACTTTATAAATATGAAATTATAATCATATGAGTATGTTATTTTAAAGCCTACACGTTATCTTAGAAAATTGTAAGGCACTATTAAACTATCTGCTTTGTATTAATTGATAAATAATTGAATGGTAAAATATGTTACCAATGCATTCGTTGGTAACTAAACTAATGAGCACTTATAGGTGGTTGACACCCTTAACGATTAGCCTCAGCTCAGTGGTGCGATTAAAATTAAATGGGAAAACACATTAACGATTACATCAAATATATAGTAAGTATTTAAAATGAGCCATACTTGATGTAAAATATTTTTAAATACTCCTCAACAATTACATTTTTTCCAACATATTTAAAAAAACATTGATTATGTACGATTGTATTTGTCAACTAATCGTGCCGTTTATAAACTAATCGTACTTTTTTTGACGAATTTGTGTTTTCAAAAGTACCTGTAGAAAATAATACCAGTTATAAAATCTAATTTAGGGTCGATATGAGGTAGGTTATCGAGTTTTATGACCCAAACGAACGATTTTCAATAATACATCATAACAAATGCATAGTATTTTAAATAAAAAATCCTGGATTAAACTGCCTAAAATTAATCAGATATATTCATTGTGGAATAAATGGGATATTATTGCAGTTTGAGCCCATTCCTTTGGACACTACAAATATGAAATATGTACACATACATCTATTAAACTCAATCATTCTGTTAGTCCGCACAAATCTGTGTTAAAACTAAACCGTAGAGCATTTAACTTCAACAGTTCAAGAAAATTCTTATTACACGTGTTATAATATTCATATATTTTGGTTTTTTAATGCATCATTTATAAATCACTACTCATTATACTATTTAACTATTATGTTTTTGAAAATAATTGTATTATAACTATTTATTTTATTTATTTGTATAATTATGTACTTATTGTTATAAGTTACAAGTAAAGGTATCATATTATTATATTCTTTTCACAAACAAAACAAACGTACGTATTTCATGATGATTTTTACTTTTTATAAAAGACTAGTGAAATATTGTTATTAAAATGTTTATGCATAATTTAAAAAAAAAATGCACTTTATAATTTTTCCTTATTTCTTATTAAAACGTATAAGAGTGGAGTCACTACTTAATGGTTTGACAAAGTACTCTCAGTCAATTCGCTCCAATAATCAATAAACATTTTAGATTTTCAAGTTATTTTAAAACATTTTTTTACGAAAACAAGAAAAATGAGTGTTGTTATTTTGAACAATAGCCCTGTATTTCGTTATTCTGTTGGCATGATGGTTCAATTATGAAATGTAGGTACACTTATAATTATTAGTGTTTAAGAAAACCGTTTTTTGTATAATAGTTACTATACATAGACTAATGAATAAAAAAATGATCGAATTCTCATTCGGTAAAAGCAGCTTTTCGTTAGCGCTGTTTAATGTCATCGATCACCAAAATCACCTAAATATTTCATAAAATATTTTCTGGCGGAGGTCATCATCCATTGAATTATAAAACGCCTACGACCTTGTACAGTATTATATCATAGCTCGTCTATACGTATTATTATTTAATACTCGCATTTTTAGCATGCATGTCGATTCATTGCCCTCGTGCGGGCGGAAGCGTTACTTGCATCGTCAATGATGTAGAAAAAAGTGCATATTGATCACCGTCATGCGAGTATTTAAATTTCGTATAACATTATGTTTAACTCGTCAGTGTGTATGGGTAGGAGAAATAAATAATTGAAAATCATCGACTTAAAAATGTGAAGTTATTTCTTACTACAGTAGGTGCATAATGGTAATATTATGTGCATACGCGGTCTGCGTAGTGACTAATAAAAAAAATATATGTAGAACAACATATATATTGAACAGTTTAAAATCTTAAAACATTTTAAAGAATTAATTGAAATGATTTTCGACTGTGGACTTTAATAGGCAATAATAATAACGATGAACCTATAACTTAAACTGCTTATTAGGTAAGGTACTCACTTTCATGGTGACACTTGACGACGATCGATCCATAGTGTAGTGTTCGAGTGTTCGACTGGAGACTATGTTAATAATTGAAAATGTAATTATATTAATATACAGTATGCAATGTATCGCGGTTATCGATGGTAATAACACTGGTGAAGGTAGACGCGATGACCGGCTTCTTATAGACTTTCCCTACTTCTCGGGATGCAAGGACTGTATACGCACGCACGCACGCACGACTAGGCATCTGCTGGTAATGAATCATGTGTCTGCGATGTGTTTTTGATAAATAGATTTTTTTTCTGTTGACGTTAAATCACGTGGATGACCGAAACCTGTGTACAGTTTAGCGACAACGACGGATTTACAATAAACACACACACACACACACACACACACACACACACACACACACACACACACACACACATAACACACATAAATATACACACAGAGTGGTTCATCAAGCCAGCTCACCCCCATTTTGTTCGTTTGATAATAATGTGCATTAACATCATTAAAATTTTTAAGTATAGATATTTAAACACATTCTTTTCAAACACCTAAATTGTTTCCTACATTTAAAAATATTGTCCTGAATCGATCAAAAATTATTTATTTTCAAATATTCTATGATAATATTTTGGTATACCTAATTATAATATTGGGACTATGATGATCTTATAATATTATAGTGACTAATACCTATTAGCACTTTAAGTTTGTAAAAATTGTCTATTAATTTTTTCTATTGAGCTATCAGTCACATGTGAAAGTTGGACAGTAAGCTTAGTTGGTAGATAATAATAGATTACTATATATATACAATAATGACATAAAATTCAGAGACATATTCAAATAGCTAATTCGTCTAAAAAAGTACTAGATGTAATACATTTATATTATATATTTGATGTAAGACACTAAAACCATTATTAAGGAATATAATATTTAACTGAAAAAGGGTGAACATGCTTGGTAAATGTTTATCGCCCATTGTTTTTGGTATAAGTAATTTGGAAATTATTTGAACTATTTTTAAACTATGTTGCCAATATTACATTCCATATTATGGAAATATATAAAATATTTTAACATATTATAATATAATGAAATTAATCAAGAATATATTCTATTGCACAATATAATGACTGTTATTAGGGCTCTATAGATTGTAGTTGCCACTTGCCACTGAGTGAGCAAGATGTATAATATATAATACAATTTTAAAATAAATAAAAATGCGAAACTAAAAATGTCCAATGTACCTAGAGATAACACGCTGTTTCCTCGTCATCATTAATGTGCTAATAAAAAAAAAAAAATGACAAAAATACACCACTAACGTCGATAAGGCACGTTTAAAAAACTTATTTATATAAATATTATGTAAATGTATTATTAATGTACTATGTACCTTACCTATTGCGGTTTAACATAGGTATATTATGTGGCATAAATTAAAATTATCTGAATAAATAATTGGGAACCTAACGTGAATAACTCAAAAACATAATTGATAGGTATTTTTTGAAATTATAACTGCAGCATGTTCAAGAGCTCTGTATAGCTTTTTATAATAATATGTTAACCTTTATGATTTTAGTTTATCTGTGAATAGGTAGGTATCTAATTTAACATTTACAGAGACAACCAATAAATCTGGATCTTTTTTTTTTTCATTCGAATCATTGATATCCGTCGAACATTGAAAATTTAAAAACAGTCGTGCGTTACACGGATACAAAACAAAATTTAAAGACTAAAATATGCTACCAAAACAGGTATACCTGACACCGCATATAGTTATGAGTGATGTATTTCGTATTTAGCACACGGTAATGTTCCAATTCAATATATTATGCATCAATAAAATAATGGGCATGCGAGCTCGCTAAAGGTCGACCCCTCACTAGGGGGGGGGTTTATACCGCAAAAAAATAAAAATATAATTCGATCGCATCGCGCGAAATTTGTAATATGCATTCGTCCGTCGGCGTGTTATTGTTGTATAATACCAGTGTATTGTACCCGTTTCATAAGTAGCCTAAGTCAAAGCTGTTTACGTTACAAACGCGTATTATTCTACGATATTCGTACACAAATACCACGGCAATAATGTGAGCCATTTTAACCACCATTAATGTTATGTCATGTCGTAAAATGTATTACGATTGTAATTTCAAATTTGTAATATAATGTACACGTGAATTATAGTAGCAGCGTTTTACGTAATAATTATTATATATTATAATTATTTATGTAGCTTTATTATTATTATTATTATTTTGTTCTCCGGAACGTTATTATTTGCCGATTAGTGATTTCAACGATGGGTGTTATTGATTCTGATCGGTCTTGTTAATAAAGTTTAATAATTTCTGTAAAAGTTTAAAGCAAATAAATTATATATTAAAAATGTTTCTAATTATTTTTTCCCCTCTTTGTTGCATTCTTTTTTTCACATAGATTATAAAAGTTTAAATTTTAAAAATTATTTTGCTAACTTGAAAAGTTTAATTCCATGTTATTAAGAAACGAGACTTTAGTGTTCGGTAAATTTACTTTTTAACTTTAAACTGTAAGTACAACGTCATTAGATCGAAATAACCCTAAGAAACATATTATTACATAAAGGTACTATTCACTAACAGAGATGTTTTCTAATTTAAAAGATAACTAATTCCACACAATCCGAGTGCTGCAATGTGTATTTAAATAATAATAATATATTCCTGCACTGCTACATGCTACGCACAACTATCTTGAACATTTTAATAAAAAAAAAATATTCTCCTTAGTATGAACTTATTCCGCAAACATCACGTTAATTGAACTTAACATTTGTAGCAGTGTATACGTTTGTAAAGATTTCAAAATGTTTAAAAGTTTTCATATGCCTGGTAACTGTGATGTTATTCGTTTAGTTTCTTGCATACAATATACATACCCAAAGAAAGTGCCTGAATCCATCAGTTGCGTATTTGCAGGGGATTGAGGTGTATGACTAATGGACTGTGTTCATTTTTTTTTTTTAAATTATTTTTTGTGCCTTCCAATAAGATTAGATGGATATTTTTTTAATTCAGAAAAGAAACAAGCATCCTACCTATGTAATTGGAGCTCAAATGTTTTGACGTCGAGTGACGACGAATGTTAAATAACAATAATAACTATTACTCAGTTGAGTATTACTCAATGTCGATTATGAGAGAATGAACATGAGATATTCTAAATTTATCCACTATAAATAAAGTAATAGGTACAATAGGTAATTAAAATGTATATAGCCTAACTATCCAAATTATCGCTCACAGGTAAGAATAAACTAAATGGATTTGTCGTTATTTACATGTCAACGGTATATTAAAATTACGATAGATGAGGTAATTGACGAGTTGAGTCAAAAATTATAAATTTGGATTTTGTGTTTTGTGTTTAAGTACGTTGATGACTATAACTATTGACTATCTACATACAAATAATAATATAATAAAACAGTAAACACTGATGATAAAATGTCACATATGTTTGTAGTATGTGGTATAGGTAATAACTAATAATATGGCGTTTTCATAAAAAATATTTAACCTCTCGAATAACGAGTTATATATATATATATATATATATGTATATCATTTGACAATGTATTTTGTGTTTATAATATTATTGAATTATCACTACAGCGCTAACTTAACTTAGATAGTGTTAATACGCACTGGATAAAAATATATCATCCCCCCTCCCAAAAAAAAAAAAAAATTAATTACGCCACTGGGATTCATATTCTTATGTAGGTATATAAAAATAAAGTATATTATCACTAGCAACCAAAGTGCCAGGAACAAAAATTTCTCAAACGCTTAATAGTATTTATCAACGTGTGTTTTTAAATCTGCATTTTTTATATTTTGTAGATACATTATTGTTGTAGGTACCTCATTATGTCTTTCAAACGATTGACTTCCGCAATAAAAAGTTTTTGATAAAAACATATTATTATGAATAGGAACACGACGGGTTATCGAGGTATGAATTCTGTGTCAGTGTTTAATTCAAAAATAGTGGCTACAGTTATAGTCTTATAGTGATAAATAGTTTAGGCACCTGTGTTACAAATATTAATCCGTCATAATGAATTTAAAAAACACAACAGCATTTCGTTCTATCTGAATATTTTTTATAGTTTTTATTACTATTTAGTAGATTTTGTATATTTTATACTATACTAAATTATAAATTTCTTTCTCGTGAATATGCTAGGAAGATAACTCGGCTGTCAGCAATTATCATTTATTTTATTGTAAGCTGTTTTAATAGTTATTAATAAAAAAAACTTATTATGACGGACTATTTATCCTTACGTATTATATAGAGAAGTCTTAATTTTAATGAATTTAGAAATATTAATTTTTTTCACATACGACTTATGCGCTCCTATTAGCCGCATTATTTTTCCCAAAATCAACCACAAAGTATTAATCTTGGACTACTTTTTGCTGTTAATTATATAAAGGATCAAAACCCTTGTAATGGTTTTCGTTTTATTCATCCTTGGTACCCGCAGAATGTATTCCGCGATCCAATTTTAAAACAACAATATTCTATTGTATTTGTAATTCACAAAATCTATTGTACTCGGTACTGATTAAGAAGATATATATAATGAAATCTCCCATAATATATATACCATGCGTGCTTGGGTTTTTTTACGGTGTCAATATTAGATTTGAAAAAGCCCCAAGGCTGCAGTATAAGCGATTCAAGAATTAATATGCATTAATTGTATTAAACTCCTAACAGCCAACAGGTATCATTTATTAATATGGACCTACTTTGTGTCTTCATTCGACCAATAAATAACTATAGGTTTTCCCTATTGGATTCAACACCACTTCACATAACAATTTTTAAATTCTATAAAATGTTAACATGTTACGTGCAAACAAATAAAACAGATATCTAGGAAGGTCCATAAAACTATGTCCAGCGGCCAACGTCTCGTATTATTAAGCAGACGAATTCCTTTTTTTGCGTTCATAGACGCGTGAGGGTTCTATTCTTGTATTAGATCGCATTTCTAAAAATGTGTTAAGTATATAAAGAATATGATAAGTAAACATAGATCGACATTTTATAATAAAAAATTGAATGAAAACAAATCCAATACAGTGTTT